ACATACGCACATACAAATAAACAGATAGCTGCATGCACACGGATAAACATATCACCTGTTCAGCTGGTCTCAGTAAGATGTAAATATGAAAAAGCAAAAACAGAATCACACGTTATTTCGTTTAAACTGAGAAAAAGCGGGTCAGCGTCTGGCGGTTCGTGATGGGGATGTATCTGCATAATTACAGATATCTGCAGTCTTATGTTTTCTCGGAAATTAAAGTGATATATTATCGTAATGTCATGCTGAACCGCCCTGTGTCATGCGCAATCTGCAGTGCAATTAGTCATGTGTATTATCATGACGTCATGAATATACCCCGAATTGTGATTGGAGGAGAGACACGTCATACTTGAACCGCAATGTGATTAGTGGAAAAGCTCGTGACGTCATCGATAACCAGAAGACGCGTGGTTGGCGGAAATCTCTCTTTATCGTGACGTCGCGGATCATTCTCACCCGCTGATTGGTCCTAACCGCAAATATGGCGGGAGGGAGAGGTTAGGCGAGCGGGAGGGAGTGATGTGGCCCTGCTCCCATCCATCACCGTCGGACGCACTGTGACGCGGTAATTGGCGAACCTACCTGGTGATTACGTGTCCCAGCCGCACACACGCGCCACCGAAATGATCCATCAGAAATTAAAGCACCTGCTGAGGCCCGTGTGCGGTGGCGGCGGCCTGGGGGGGGGGCAGGAAGTTTCCCGCGTCGGCTGAGGGAGAGGGGAGGTGTAGGGGGATAGAGGTAGGAGTGGAGGAAGGAGGGAGAGGGGGGGGTAGAGGGTAGAGAGGAGGGGAGGAGTGGAGGGGAGGGAGGAGTGGAAGGGGGGAGGGGAAGGAGGTTAAGAAGGGAAGAGAGGAGAGGAGGGAGTGTGGAGGGGAGGGAGAAAGGGACGAGAAAAGAATGATGGATGAAGTGGATTGCTTTGATGACTTTAGCTAACATTATGGGAGAGAGGTGACAAGGTTGACGGATAAACAATTTGAGTAAAAAAATGAAAAAAATGATCTCTGTCTTTCTCTTCGTTTCGTTAGCCATTTGGGGATAAGAGAGTGACAGGTTAGATTGATTACGGGTAGATTTTGTTGATTAACTTCGCCGTAGATAATGATAGGTAATCAGCCGACTCATTAGCACTGATTAATGTCCGTAGGGAACAAGGGAAGACAATCTAGTTTTTTTCTCAGGCTTCTTACGTAGGCCTATGAAGACTCGGGTCCCACGCTCATTTTTAACAAACCAAATAACCTCTTTAAGTTCCTTTTTTTTCTACTTCATTTAATCCTAATACGTCACGCGATTTCGTGATTACATATGTGTCTTGTGTGTTTTATTACCGATCTTAATAAGTCCCATATGGTTCGTCGGTCGGTTTCTCATTTTCTTTTTCTATGTAAACGTCGTTAATGACTGATGACTTCCGTTTATTATCTATTCTACAGCAGGATTTGGGGGAAAATGGGAACTTGATGGAGGTTATGAGAACACGATGCGTTAGAACTTTTTTTTATTGCGAAAAGTTAAATTTGGGTTTTAATTATATTTAAGGTTTCTATAGAATGCCCCAAGAGGTATCGGTGCTAAATAGTGAGTTTATGAAAGATCGGTCAGGTTAGTCTATTTTACTCTTGCTTTATTCATTAATTGGTTAATCTTTACCGAATTGTAGTGTTGATTAGGGTACCAGCTGAGTTTTTTATATATAGTTTTCATTTTGTATGGTGACCGTTGTCAATTTTTATTTTTTATTTCGGTGGACTTGTTTAGGGTGGTAGCTCAGATTTTTGTATGTTTGTTTTTCGTAATATTTTCTTTTCTTTAATATGAAGTGTTCTTTTTTTAACAAATGATTTATCCTTGTTTTCGGTTAAAGTTCTCTAGTATTGATTGACAGCTCAGTTTTTTGTATTCAATAATTTATTTATTTATTCTAGATTGATATCTAGATGGAGTGCTCTTTTTTTAATGGGTTTTGGTGTTTAGAGTGAAAACTAACTTTTTCGTAACTGTTATTGTTTGGGTAATTTTGTTTAATTTGAATGTTCTGCAAACGCCATCCTTAGTATTTAGATTCTTTGTTGATACGGGACGTCCATTTCTTTTATAAACTCTCGTTATTTCTGGAAAAGTTTTGTATTATTATTATTTTATTGTTATTATTGTTGCGGTTGGTTATTTTTGTTGTTCTTGCTCGACAAACCTCTGGCACTGTAATATATAACATTGAAACGTAAGTACACACACACACACACACACACACACACACACAACACACACACACACACACACACACACACACACACACACACACACACACACACACACACACACACACACACACACACACACACACACACACGAACACAGAACGCCGCTTGAGAACACCCAATACCTCAAGTTTGTTTGACCGATAACCGCTTCGCCCTTCGAGCACCAGTGCACAAGGCCGTTATCAGCGTGCACCTTGTTAGCGGGGCTATCTCGACGTCCATTCCGGAGCTCAAAGTGGAGCTATTGAGAACCACTTAATCAAATCCTTCGAGGATGAAGGTGGAGGAGGAGGAGGGGAAGGGAGGAGGGGGAGGGAGAGAAGAGGAGGAGGAAGGGGAGAAGGGAGTGAAGGGAGAAGAGAAATGGAGGAGGTGGAAGAGGAAGGTGGGAAGGGGGTGGGAGAGGTGTGATGTGGAGGGAAGGAGAGGAGGAAAGGGAAAGGAGGGGTGAGGAGAGAGGAAGGGGAGGAGAGAGGAAGGGGGGTAGTGAAAGGGGAAAAGGAGGGGGAGGAGAGGAGGAAGGGAGGGAAGGAGGAGGAAGGGGGAGTGAAGGGAGGAGGAGGGAAGGAGGGAAAAGGGGGGGAAGGGAAAGGGGAGGAAAAGGAGGAAGGGGAGGGAGGAGAATAGGAGGAGGAGGAAGGGTAAGGGGGGAAGGGAGGAGGAGATGGGAAGGGGGGAGAAAGAAAGAAGGAGGAGGATGTGGAGAAAGCGGGGGAGAGAGAGAAAGAGAAGGAAGTTAGATGAAAAGGGAAAGAGGTGGGAAGGGGAGAGAGGAAGAAGAAAAGCTGGAGATTTAGAAGAAGTTCGAAGAAAGGAGAGCGATATAGGAGAAGGAGGAGGAAGAAAAAAAGTGGGGAAAGGATGGAAGATTAAGAGGAGGAGAGAAGAAGGGATAATAAAGAGACTCCGAACGAAGAGGAGTGGAAGGGAAAAGAGAGAGAGAAAAGAGGTTGTGTTGAAGCGATGTGGTGAAATCAATTAAGTCGGCCATTAAGATATGCCACAGAGCTCCTTAAGATGCCGTTGTTGCAGACCAGTCGGTGTTGGCGAGGGTGGTCTCCGTGCGTGTGTGCGTGTGTGTGCGTGCGTGTGTGTGTATGTGTACGTGTGTGTAAAAGAGATTACAACGGCAGGTTTTACGCTTCATTTGGTTGGCTGCAAAGTGGCCTTTTGATCTGGTGTCAGAGAGATATGCTTCTTTTGTGGTCAGAGTTAGCAATGGAGAGAGAAAGAGAGAGGAGAGAGGAGAGAGGGAGAGGAGAGGGAGAGGGAGAGGGAGAGGAGAGGGAGAGGGAGAGGGAGAGGAGAGGGAGAGGAGAAGGAGAGGAGAGGAGAGGAGAGGAGAGGAGAGGAGAGAGGAGAGAGAGGAGAGAGAGAGAGGAGAGAGAGAGAGAAGAGAGAGAGAGAGAGAGAGAAGAGAGAGAGAGAAGAGAGAGAGAGAGAGAGAGAGAGAGAGAGAGAGAGAGAGAGAGAAGAGGAGAGAGGAGGAGAGAGAGAAGTGTATTGAGAGGTGGACAGAGAAAAAAAAAAACGCTTTGTACATACAGAGTTCCATTTTCTCTGCATTTACCCTTCTTCCCTAATTTATCCATTAATTCCTTTATTATTTAGCACACGCACTAACGCACGCACAAATAACGATGACAGAAGAAAGCGTAATACGTCGCTCAGAACTGCATTCGTCACACCCCTGGACGCAAAACAACGACACCGAACAATTATGAATTATGGAACACGAAATTAGGATTTTTTATGCGTTTTTTCACTTATTTGTTTATTCACATATTTTTGGGGTGTGTTTTTTTTTAGGTCTTTTATTGGTGTCCCACACACGCCATGGTAATTAAGGAACGTTTATGATGATGAAATGATTTGTGATTGGTAATTATGCACGTTAAAATCTTGTTAATGTTGTTTATGTTTCTGATTCGTGCAATAAACTCGGATGAGTTTTTTTTTTTCTTTTTTTTTGGGGGGGGGATTTTTTCTTAATCTCCGTCAAATGAATGTGTTTATTGAACTTTGTATTATTATAAAGCGTTGACAGAATTTCTTTTATGTTTAGATAGGATAGTTTGGCTGAAAGTCTTGAAATTCTGAAAATGCTTATAATACACTTTCTTCATTACTTCCATGTCACTTTTTTCATTTTATATCACATCTGCAACAGTTTATTTTAAAGAAAGGCGTCCAGGCTTCAACCCTCTTTACTCTTTCCGTGTATTTGAATCGAACTAATTTAGAGTGAACTTCTCGATTCCTCAATTTACAATCTCCTTATCACCTTCTCCACTTGACCTTTGATATGACTATTCCAAGACCTTAAGTAGTAAGAAGGAGGAGGAGAAGAAGAAGGAGAGGAAAGGAGAGGGAGAGAGAGAAGAGTAGGGAGGAAGAGGAGAGAGAGAGAGAAGCGAGAGAGAGAGAGAGCGAGAGAGAGAGAGAGAGGAGAGAGAGAAAGAGAGAGAGAGAGAGAGAGAGAGAGAGAGAGAGAGAGAGAGAGAGAAAGAGAGGAGAGAGATGAGAGAGAGAGAGAGAGAATGAAGAAGGGAGGGATAGAGAAAGATAGGAAAAAAAGAACAAAAGAAAGAAAAGGAAAAAACACAAGCAACGGAGACAATGAGAAAGAGGAAGAAAGAAAGAAAAAAAAAAAAATAAAAAGAAAAAAAAAAAAACGAAAAAAAAAACACACACACCAACCATTCTAACCCCTTATTCCCTTCCTTGCAGGCAACTGGGAGAGGAAGCGGCCCGTGTGGGTGATGCTGATGGTCAACTCCCTGACGGAGAGTGACATCCGGAGCCGCGGCGTGCCTGTGCTGGACCTGTACCTGGCGCAGGAGGCGGAGCGGCTCACCAAGCAGACGGGCGCCGTGGAGCGGGTCGAGGAGCAGTGCGTCCCCCTCAACGGCCTTAACTTCTCGCAGGTGGGTGTGGGTGGGGGTGGGGGTGGGGGGGGGGGTGGGGTGGAGGGGTGGGCGGGGGGTTGGTGGGGGTGCTGTTATATTGTTGTTATTGTTTTTTTAGCATTATTATTGGTATTATTATTATTGTTGCTGTTGTTGTTATTGTTATTTATATATTTATTATTTTGTTGTTTTTATATTTTATTATTATTGTTGCTGTCGTTGTTCTTGTTATTATTATATATCTTTTATTATTGTTGTTTTATTTTATTATTATTTATGTTATGATTATGATTATGATGATGATGATGATGATGATGATGATGATGATGATTATCGATCATCATTATGTTTATGGCTTATTGAGTCTTTTACACTCAATGCTCGTCTTATACTTTCCATATCCTTCTGCTTTCTTTCTCTCTCCCTCCTCTCCCCCTCCCCCTTCCCCGCCCTTCCCTCCCCTTCCTTCCCCATCCCTCATCTTCCACTTCCCTTCCTCTCCCCATCCCTCACCCTCTCCCAATTCCCTTCCCTTCCCTCCCCTACCCCTCAGTTCCCTTCCCTTCCCTCCCCTTCCTTCCTCATCCCTTCTCCCTCACCTTCCCCTCCCCTCCCTCCCATTCCCTTTTCCTTCCCTTCCCTTCCCTTCCCCTAGTAAAGACCACCCAGCAGGAGGTCCGGAGTTATGGTGGTGGGGGGTTGGGGGGTTGAGAAGGGGGGGGGTAATGGGCCATGTAGGACTTACTCGTTACTCCTGTTTCCTCTTCCATTCCTCTTTCATTTCTAATCTTCTCCTTTTGCTTCCGTTATCTCTTTACCTTCTCTTTTCGACTCTCTTTCCCTTCTTCCATTCCCCTTTCCTTCTCTTACCTTTTAAGTCTCTTTGCCTTCTTCTTCCCTTTCCCTTTCTCCTTTCCCCTTTCCTTCCTTCTTTCCCCTTTCTCCCTTCCCTCTTATTCTCCGCATATCTCAACCCCCCCCCCCCCCGCCCAAGAAAAAAAATCGGATCAGTATTAATGTAAAAGTTTTGATATTGTCATTTTCATTTCGAAGGATTTCATATCTCTTCCTTTCCCTGTCTCCCCCGTCCTTCTCCTCTTTATCCATTCCTTTTTCATTTACTATTTTGTTTCTTTTCCCCCTTTCATTTCCCCTTTTTTTCTATACGTTTTCCTGTCTCTTCTTTTCTTCCCTCTTCTTCCCCGCCTCTTCTTATGCTATTTCCTATTCCTTTCACACATTTCTTATATTTCTTCTCCCCCCTCCTCTTTCCTCTCCCCTCTTCCCTCATCCCTCCCATTTCTCGTCTTCATGTTTCCTCTTACCTTACCCTCTTGCCTTAAGATCTCACTTTCCCTTCTCTCCTTCCCTCCCACATCCCCTCTATCTCCCCCACCTACTTCCCCTCTTTTCCTCTCCTCACTTCCCCTCTTTCCTTCCCACTCCCACTTTCTTTTCTCTCCCATTTCACCTCAAATCTCATCCTTTTCTCTCCCTCACGTCCGCTATTCCCCACCACTTCCCAGATTTCTTAACCCCCCCTTCCCCTCTTACCCCCTTTTCCCCTTTTTCCTTACCCCACTTCTTCTCTTCCCTTCCCCTCTCACTTCCCCCTCTTCTCTTTCCCTCTCCTCTCACTTTCCTTCTTCGCTTCCACTTCCCTTTTTGAATTTCCAATCTTCTCCCCGCTCTTCTTTCATTCTTTGCTCCTCCATCCACATCCCGCCTATCCTCGCTTCCTCCACCTCCCCTCTTTCTCCTCTCCGCCAAGGGGGAAAAGTCACGAGAAACGACCCACAGCCTTTCCCTCGGGTGAGTCATCGCGCCGCAACAGGGGTCGTCCTTTCTATCTCATTCTTTCTCTCTCTGTTCTCTCTCTCTCTCTCTCTCTCTCTCTGCTCTCTCTCTCTCTCTCTCTCTCTCTCTCTCTCTCTCTCTCTTCTCTTCTCTCTCTCTCCTCTTTCTTTCTCTCTCTCTCTCTCACTCTCTCTCTCTCGGCTCTCTCTCTCTCTCTCTTTCTCGCTTTCTCTCTCTCTCTCTCTCTCTCTCTCTCTTCTCTCTCTCTCTCTCTCTCTCTCTCTCATCTCTCCTCTCTCTCTCTCTCTCTCTCTCTCTCTCTCTCTCTCTCTCTCTCTCTCTCCTTCTCCTTCCCTCTCCTCTCCCTCTCCCCCCTCCCTCCCTTCCCCTCTCTCTCCCTCTCCTCTCCTCTCCCTCTTCCCTCTCTCCCTCTCCTCTCCTCTCTTCAACCTTTCTTTTCCTATCTCGTTCTCTCTTTCTCTTTCCTTCTCCTTTCTCGTTCTCTTTCTCTCTCTCTCTCTTTCTTTCTTTTCCCTCCATACACGCATGATTTATATTTCAAAGGAAATATAAATTTTCAAAAATCCACCAGACGCCCGAAGACAGACATTTCCTTCCGTTAAAATCCCTCATTAACTTCCTCTTAATCCACTTTTTTAGGACAGCATCACCCTCACTCGCAAAGAAATGGGGGGGGGGGGAGGAGGGGAAGAGCAGCGGGTGGCGTGCGTGTGATCGTGCTGGTGGGCGTGCGTGCGTGCGTGCGTGCGGGCGGGCGTGGGGGCGTGGGGGAGGGCGGGTGGCAGACGTAATGGCGCGTGGCAGGAAACGAGCATCGGAAGGCGCGCCATTAGAGTCGAGACTTGGCCGCGCGACGCCTCCTTCGCCCAGCTGGCCGTTGGCGCCAAAACGCTCGGCCGCCTTTGTTGTTGTGTCGCCTCGGCCGCCCGCCTCAGCGCACGCCCACGCTGCGCTCTCGGGCCTTTGCGGGCGGCGCGTTTGGAGTGTATGAAATATATCACACTCGTGTTTGCGGGTGTATGCATATGCACATGTTATATATACGTGTGTATGTGTGCATATATATATATATATATATATATATATATATATATATATATATATATATATATATATATGTGTGTGTGTGTGTGTGTGTGTGTGTGTGTGTTGTGTGTGTGTGTGTGTGTGTGTGTGTATGTGTGTGTGTGTGGTATTGTATATTATGTGTGTATGTAGTGTGTGTGGGTGTGTGTGTGGTGTGTTGTTTATGTGTATGTGTGTATGTGTGGTGTATGTGTGTGGTGTGTGTGTGTATGTATTTATAGTATGTATGTATGGTATTATATATATAATTGCTATGGCTATTATTTATTCTTATTTATGATTTATTTTTATACATATGATTATATTATACACAACTAACATGAGTATATTATGTGTGTTGTGTTGCGTTTGTTGACGGGTGTGGTTGGGTATATTTTTTATTATCATATTCATATATTTATTTTTTTATACTTACTATTTATACTTTATATGTATATATACTATATATATTTATGCATTTGTGTTTATGTTATGCATATACTTACATATGGCAGACATGTTCTATATATACCATACATACATACATCATACATTTTACAGTATCATATTTTTGGCCTATATTTTATATTATTTTGTTGTATACGTTTATATTAATTGTTTATTGATATTAATTTAAGACTATATTGTTAGACATATACATCACATTTTTATATGTCTTATATATATTCATTATGTAAGAATTCTGTTGTTAGACGTACATTGAGCATATACAGCGTTGTCTAGTGTGTGTGGTTGTGTGTAAACACTACTAGACACACACACACACTACACACACACAACACAGAGCGACACACACGATCACACACCGTAATCACACACACACACAGACACTACACACTTAACACACTATCACCACGACACAACAACACACACAACATCCTACACACCACACACTTTTACGCACACACACAACACGATCACACTACACGTTGGTATGTGGTATTGTGGACGTCTACACGAATTCTTAACCTGACCGCGGTCGGAACTGGGCTTCATTCAGGCCGCTGACAAATGAACACTTTACGCGGCTGAGTTCACTCGAGCGACCACCGCCATAACTTCCTTCGCTCGCTTGTGCTGTTTTGTGCATGATAAGCCTACGAAAATTCCCCGTCCAGAAGGCAGTAAAGCTCGAGTGCAAATGGCGCTTACTGTCAGGCCTTCGTCGGGACACACGTTCGTAAACACCATATTGTCAACGACGCTGGCGTTCCTTCACATCCCGAGAGATGGATGAGACGGATTAAACACAACTTTATTTTCCTCTACCTTCTTTAGTTCATTTTGTCTTTTGTATTTATATAGATCTCATTGAGGTGGAGCACGCTATTATATTATTAGACGGGCGTGTTTGTTAAAATAGGCTCGATGAGTGTATATATCATCAGCTGGTGAATCCGAGAGATATTCTTAATTTGTGTGGGACGGCGGTTGGTTTCGTTCTACATCTCGTTCCGGCCTTCGGCCGACTTCATGACACATTCTTTGTGCTAGTGCGCGGAAGGTTCGCTTTATCGGCTGATTATGATAAACAGGCCTTTTAATTGCGCTTCCCTGAGGTCTCGCGTCGGGGGATTTCATCAAGGGATTGTCCACACGATTTATCGCGGGGATTTTTAATGAAATTGGAACTCAGGAATTCTAATTATTGGCGAGAGGATGGACGATTTTGTATTTGCCGAATTTTGATATTAATAATCGGTGCTTTTTTCTAATACTGTATGAATTTTATCTGACGATCTAGTATTGTGGATTATTAGAATCCCGCTTCGACAGAACGATACGGCCTGAAAACGCAGGAACATTAGTGAAATTGGAGGAAAAGGAAAAAGTTTTTTTCCACTCCGCCATAAACGCCACGAAGCGCCATCTATCTTTCCCTTTCATCGCCCGTGGCCCGGTTCTCTATTTACGACGGCTCTATTTTACTGATCTTTATTCGTCTTTTTTATCAATATAAACCCTCACCCAAAGAAAGCTTTAAAAATCGCTCACCATCAGGAAATAAATGATAGGTAGAGAGCCATGACTCGGGCGAGTCGCTGCTTCCATTGGGTATCGCGTGAGATCGAGTGGCGCTCCGCTTAAACACCGATTAGCGATGAAGGGAGTATGGGAAGTAGTTAGCGAAGGAATATGAAAACGGCAGATATGATCGGGCGCGTCGTCTATTGAATGAAGCGTTCTGGGAAGTGATAAGCGAAGGCATTGGATTAAGCGTAATCTACATGAGCGGAAATGAGGAGTACCGTGTTTGAGAATAATTTTGAGTACTATCTGCTTGAATGAAATGACCTGCTCCAAGTCGATCTCGTCGTGAAATAGATGGATAAAAGAGCACGTAGATAGTATTAAATTGATCTCAGATTGTATAGCATAAAAATTTACTCTGATAACTAAGAATGATAAAAATGCGTTTATACGAAAAATTTATCAGAATTCATTTTGCTTGTTATCAATATTCAATGTAATTTCACAGTATAGAGTATCTGGAAAAAAAGATAATAAGAATAAAAGCACAAGTTTTTCTAGCCACTATTTTCACTCGGCGAAGTTCTAAGAAGGAAACGAGTATGGTTCTTTTTTCACTACGATTCGTTCCTTCTCCTTTCACCCTTCACGAAAAGAAAAGAAATATAGAGCATTTCTAAAAAACGAGATATTTACAAAATTGGCATGATGACTCAATAAGAGAATAATAGGGAAGATATTGAGTAAGTTAAAGAATAAGGAAAAAGCAAAAATGAAGAAGTGTGTTCCTCTCACATCGGTTTCTCTGTCTTCTGGGTGCTTTCTATTTATGCCGTGACTATATGTAGTGCTACGTCTCTACGCGAGTTCAATACATCATGCATAACTTGCCTCCTCCCTCCTCTCTCTCCCCCTCGTCCGACTCTCTTCTTCTCTTCTCTCTATTTTCCGCTTCTCTCCTCTGTGCGCCGAACTCTTCTTAATCTCCTTTTCTCTCTCCCCCCCGCCTGCCTCCCCGCGACCACCATGCTTAATAATTATGTCGTGTGATGAAGAATCTCAAGGCTGTAGAGCGCAAATAATGCGTTTTTGAATAAATACATATAAGGAAGTTGCATGTTGATAATCAGTATGTAAGATATGTCATCGTAAAAGTTCTCGGTTGCTATCGTGGGTGTACCGAACATTAGTTCAATAAATGGTCTCTATCAAGGCTAACACAATAAGCTCTCTCGGTTATCCCGTTTATGACGTGTAGGGTGGTGTGTAGTAGTTGCTGTTTTCAGGAGGGAGGATTGTTCGAGTTTGGGTGGCTGCGCGTCGTTTGCTGTCTCGTTCGGGATTTCTGTAGTGAATTTGGAGGATCAAGTTTGTAGTGGGTTTTACTTGCATCGATATGTCTTTTAGTGGATTATGGTTCTTTTTGACGTTGAGGATTTTTAATTATTATCATTTTTTATTGTTTTTTGTATTTTTTCTTGGATTGAAGTTTTGATAATTTGGTGGTGATTAGTTATGTTGGTTAATATAACGGTATGGACAAAGGAGCCGATCCTGATTCTGTTTATAGATTTCATTTGTTTGGTTATAGTGGTGATTGATGACGCACGTGTACCTGAGTTTTTGGCATTTAGTAAGAGTATGAGCAAGGGTTTACTTGAAGGGAGTTATAATTAGGAGCAGTTGATTCATTTGACAAGCAGAGGATAGTTTGCATACCCTGTCCCCGTTTTCTTCGTATCCTTGTCCCCGCCCACATGCAAATCTCCACCAACCACATCCCATCAAAAATGTCTTAAGCTCCTCCCACCGAGCCCCAACCGCCCAATCACCGCCGCGCAAAACCTCCGAACTCCAATGACGTCGATGCAACCGACCACGCCCAAAACAAGTTACAAAATAAGCATTGTGTTTATGCCTCGCCCCGGGCCAAGTTATGAACTGGAAGTGATGCGTTGCGGGAGCAGCGACCTTGAGGATGCGGGAGAAATCTGTTTACGAATGTCTGACGGAGCGGGATGGGGCGAAACGCGGGTATTTTCGGAGTTTAGTTTAGTAATCTTTGCGGTTCATTTGCATGGCGGCTTAACTTTTGTAATTCGGGGAAGAAGTTGAAAAGTCTGTATCGCTTGCGTGATGCTGTTTGTCTGTTTTTGCGAAGAAAATCAAGTGTACATTTCTCTTTGATCATAAAAATCTTGCAGTAAATTTAGAATTGATATTACACGCACGAATAGTCTCTGTGAAGATGACAGTAATATACGTATAAAAAAGTACACGAGCTATAAAAAGCGAAGGCAAAAATAATAAAAAGATATAAAGGAAAAAAAAAAATCAATTTACCCGACCTACAGCATACCAAGACCCGCAGGCTTCACCAACACAGGATTAAATCACCGTGTATAATGCCTCTCGTTCGCTCCTTATCTCCCCCTAACCCGGAATACAGTAACCGCGAGATAAAACCGGGTCACACAATGGAGAGAGCGGTAATAACAGGGCCGTGGATGTGTGTGTTTTGGATTCACGAGTCACTGCGCAGGTAATAATAACGATTATGGTGCGTGTTGCGGACACCCTGTGTTATCTTGTTATTCGAAGGGAGTTTCGGGGAGGGGAGGGGCCCTGCCGGCTCCGGGCGGGGGGTATGGGGCTCCGTTTATGGTCGCGTTTCTTTGTTTATTTGTTTGTTTGTTGCAGTTTCTTCTGGCTACCTGTCAGTCTGTCTTTTTCTTTTGTCGCCTCTCTCACTCTCTCTCTCGTTCTGTCTCGGGTGTCTTCTGTCTCTCTCCTCTCTCTCTCTCTCTCTCTCTCTCTCTCTCTCTCTCTCTCTCTCTCTCTCTCTCTTCTCTCTCTCTCTCTCTCTCTCTCTCTCTTTCTCCTCTCTCTCCCCTCCTTCCTCTCCCCTCCCCCTTTCTTTCTCCACCTTCCCTCTTTCTCTCCTCTCTCCCTTCCTCCCTCTTTCCTCCTTCCCTTCCCTTCCCTTCCCTTCCTTCCCTCCCTCCCTCTTTCCCTCCCCCATCTCTTACTGTACTTCTCTCTCTCTCTCTCTCTCTCTCTCTCTCTCTCTCTCTCTCTCTCTCTCTCCTCTCTCTCTCTCTCTCTCTCTCTCTCTCTCTCTCTCTCTCTCGCTCTCTTCTATATATGCATATTGCAGTTGATCTACATATACACACATGTGCGTGTGTTTTTGCGTACGTATACATACTAAACAACTCTGTATCTCTTGAAATTGATATTTGTGGTGTGCGTCGGTTTATCTGTGAAGGCAAACTTGCTAGCAGATAGGCATATCTTCACTATTACCGTGTTTGTTATTTTTAACTTTTTCTTTAGCGCCTGCACTCTCTTTACTAAGCCGAACCTCATTGATAAGACCGCGTACGTTACCACACTGCCATTGATACGTGTTCATTCATCAGAGAAAAAAGGTGCCTTACAATCTCCAGCGTGTAATATTCTTCTCAAAAATAACATTTCCACGTCAGATTAAAATTTATGAATTGCCTCCTTCCCCTTGAAAAGGTTACAGGGTTAATGTAGAGGGCTAACCACAGTGAATGAAACCGCAGACGAAGGTCCACAGAGGCGCCGTTGTGTTGTGTCGTCGCCTCCCGTCTCCCCTACGCGACCCGTATTTAGGAGCGGCGAGTTTTGTTTACATTGGGATGATCGGCGAAACGTGGCCGAACAGGTGCCGCTGTCTCTCGGTATTTCTTTCTTTTTTATTTTATTTCTCACGGTTCTTTTTCTCTCTCTTTCTCTCTCTTTCTTTCGCTTCTCAGGTGCAGCTGTCTTTCGTTCTTTCTTTCTTGTTGTTTTTATTTCTTTCGCTCTTTTTTTTTCTTTTTCTTTTCTCTTTCCCTTTCTTCTCTCTCCCTCTCCCTTCCTCTTTCTTTCCCTTTTTCTCTATCTCCCTTCCCCTCCCTCCCTCCCTCCCTCCCTCCTCTCTCCTCTCCCTCTCTCTCTCTTCTCTCTCTCTCTCTCTCTCTCTCTCTCTCTCTCTCTCTCTCTCTCTCTCTCTCTCTCTCTCCTCTCTCTCTCTCTCTCTCCTCTCCTCTCTCCTCCCTCCCTTCCTCCCCTCTCTCTCCGTCCTCCCCTCCATCACTATTTTCTTCTAGTTATTTAAATCTCTTTTCGCGACCCGCATTTAGGAAAGACCAGCCCGTTTTCTCGATCTGTGTTTGGGGAAGGAATTTGGGTCAGTCACCCTGCCATTAATCGCGTTCTTTGGCGTTTTCTTTTTTTCTGCGGCGCGTTTTCTTCGGGTCTTGTCATAACAGCGGCCGGAGAGGAACGCCATGCTGAGGTTTTATCGGCGCGTCTCAATTTATTTTTTGACTGTGATGGATTGTTGCGAGGTGTGTCTCGTGGCGTGTTGTTTATTGTCCGCCTTTCGCTCTCGGGGGATGGGTGTTGGCTGGGAAAGATACGGATTTATTTTGTTGCATGTGGTTTATTTTTTATCCTATTGATGTTTGTTCTTTTTTTGTGAAAGAATGGGATTTATTTCATGGACGTAGGTTATTTATATATTTGTATCGTGTGATACTTATTAATTGATTGATTTTTGGTTAACGAAGTCGCATATGAACATCCAAAAAGAAAAAGACTTCAACCCAAAGTATTCACAGTCCCTCAGACGAAGTATGACACTTTCTGCCTCCCTTCTACAGGTGGTGTTCGCCCTCAACCACACACTGTCACAGCAGGAGATCTTGCGCGCCGGAGATGGTCGTCTGACCTTCACCACAGATGACCTTATACGCCACTATAACTGCGGTGACCTGGACGCTGTGATCTTCTCTCAGGACACCACGCAGGTAGTAAGGACGTTGCTGTGTTCATTTCAACCCTTTATGGGCTGTGTTTGATAGGGTATTTTAAGATTACCGGCGATATTTCGGTTTGTTAGGGGTTTGTGATGAAAGAGGGCTTAGCGTGTGTGATTGAGTTAGTGAGTGAGTGAGTGTGTGTTGTGTGTGTGTGTGTGTGTGTGTGTGTGTGTGTGTGTGTGTGTGTGTGTGTGTGTGTGTGTGTGTGTGTGTGTGTGTGTGTTGATTGAGTATTTGTATTTACGCATGCATCTACGTATATGTGTCTCTATATATAATTTTATCAGGTGAGAGCAAGAGTAAGGTAAGAACTTTTAAGTTTAAGAGTTAAGCACATTAGGAAATTGTAATATATAGTTGAGTAGTCTGTATCATAGTTATGGTATATATATATATGTATATATATGTATATATATGTATATATAATATATATATTATATATATATATATATATATATATATATATATATATATATAATTATATATAATATATATATATATGTATGTATTTTTTGTATTTCTAAACTAAGTACTTAGTTCAATTCCATTGTGAATAAAACACTTAATAGCCCTACACTTGCGCACACGTTCCTCTCAATCCTTGGAAAAATATTCGAAATAATTCCATTCCCACGTTCGAGATCATTTTTTCTCAACCTGTTCAACCCTTTTTATTTGAGATAATTTTCCCAAGGATCTCAGGTCTTTGAAAGGTCTGTCTAATCAACAAGCGGATTTTATTAATTAACGACAATCCCTTCTCTCAGTTGAAATACGTGCATTTAAAGTAGTAATTACTTTAAGATAACATGATATTTGTTATATAGCTTTACCTTAGCTGCCTCATTGTGTATTATTATAAGATGTACGACGATCCACTTGAATTGTCGCGGACCTCTAAAGCCATGTTGGAGAATTGTTCATTCATCTCACACCATCCAGATTATTCTTCTCCTTCATTCTAGGTCATTCTACCGTCTCGTTCCGGCCCACCCAGGTCGTTCTGGGATAGTTCTCTTCATTAATTTTGGCGGGAGAGTCGGTGTGACAGGGTGCGCTCGCTATGAGAGGCGCGCCCTTTGCGAACATTTAGGATTTTTCTATATGAGAGTACTTGTAAAATTGTTTATGATTACTTCCCTTGGATTTCACTTTTGATATACTACCAAGAATTTTTATTGTACGTATAAAAAGGGAATAGGTATCGGTAATTAATTTAGAAACTATTTTTTAGATAGTTCCGCTAGCTGGGCTGTCGCGACCCACGCCATGAACAGCCATTTTCTCGGTCCTTGCAATCCTACGTTCAATTAATACCTCCCCCTCTCGCCACCCCCGCCTCCTTCAAGACGACCCCCGCTTTATCCTCCGGGGGACCTCATCCTCGGTGTCTCCCGCAGGTCCCCCACCTCGGCAACTCGTCCCTGCCGCCCGTCGACGCCGCCACCGCCACGCACATCGACGAGTACTTCCGGGAGGAGCTCATCTACCGCCGCAACCAGCGCATGGGCGAGCGCGTCGTCGAGATCCTCAAGGCCAACCCCGACCAGAGCTTCTTCTTCGCCTTCGGAGCCGGTGAGTCGCAGGGGGAGGTGCTTGGGCTCTTTTTTTCTTTTCCTTTCTTTTTCTTAGGGAGAAAGGTTATGTTTTGGGTTATGGATTACTTGTATGGTCATGTGCATTGCGTCGGTACTCGCAGACACTTGTAAGCACGTAGGCCTACACTTGCGCATGTGCACGCCAAGAAACGCAAACACACACAAAAAACACAAGAAGAAACCTAAACACAAACACGCACGCATGCACACAACGTTACGTTCTTCTAAAACCAGTAGACCACTAACAAACATCGTTCACAACAGTCGTCACGGGTCAAGAAATCTGACCTAAAACTGACCTTTCTGGTAAATTGATCCGACAGAGATGCCACTTAGCTGAATGATTTCACTGTATGTACGTATAAAATGTGTATCGTATATGCTTTAGCTCTTTGAGAATATGCAGGCTATGGAATAGTACTAATCGATACTACGCATATGTTGTTATGGTATAAATACAGTAAGTACTAAACGCTGGTATGATTATTAAAATCCTAGAATGCTAACTTTTCATTTTTTTCACTGCGTATCAATTCATATTTCAAATTCAGCTCGATTTGAAGTTCAGAATAGTTAAAGTTCATTTACACCCGACACTACTGAAGTCATAGCAATGGCCGCATGTTCAGAGGGAGTGAGCACCACCTAAGCCCCTGGTTACTTTCCTGGCGTGGCTGCTTCAGATGGGAAAATCAGTCGCGTTAACTTCCCCAATTTGGCTAGGCCTTTAGACCTTTGTGGCTTTAAAAGAATGCAATGTTTGTAAACCTCTCTACCTGCTGCGGGTACTTGAGGTGATGGATGGAGTTCACCCTTAGAGGTGTTCCTCAGGACTCGGGAATCTGAAGGACGTTGGTGGCTTTCAGGATAAATTATGTATTTCGTGCAACCCGAGAAATAATTTTGATGGTTTACATCAAGGAGACACACTAGATAGGGTTAAAAGGTAGTGAAAAGACCAAAGTTCTTGCTTGTATATCAAGTTTAATAAATAATTTCAGCTTCATATTTCAGTTGTCTGTATCCCTAATATTATAAACATCTGGCAAGTGTTGCAGAATTAAGGGTAAGGAATTAACCCAAATAAAAAAGGTCCGGGTTATGGCTGGCAGGCGGTTTATCTTTTGATTAGTCTAAATATTTTTTTTGTTGGTGTTATTATTACTGCCGTGTTATTTTTGTTCTAGTTATTTGTTTTGTAATTTTGCTATTGATCTTCTCAGTAGATTTGTCATCTCCACTTATTGTATCCCCCAAGGAGGTTATGTTTTTGTTAGCGTTGGTTAGTTATCTGGTTGGTTGGTTCGCACGATAAATGAAAAAAAAAGTTATGGACAGATTTTATCAGAGGCGAGTCTCAGCTCAACTAAGATGTCATGGAATGTTGGTGGTGATCCGGATTATGATCAGGATCCGGGATTTTTTTAATTGCATCAGATAAAGGCAGATCAAGCGATAGAATAGATATATAGATAGATATTTTCTTTCATGAGGGGAATGTTATTTTTCATTTTACTTTTTTAAAAATCTCATCCTCTTTTTTTTTTTTAAATAGAAAACGAGGAAGATGGTAAGGCAGATAAGGAGAAGAGGGGGGGGGAGGGGGGAGGGGCAGGAAAACGAGACATCGATAGAGAGATTCCACATGGGAGGGGGGAGGGGGGGGTAAAGGACCTGGGTAATGAAAAAGAATTGTCATGTCAAGCCGTGTTATGTCTGCCATTTGTCTGTTGGCGGACACATGTCTCTCTCTCTCTCTCTCTCTCTCTCTCTCTCTCTCTCTCTCTCTCTCTCTCTCTCTCTCTCTCTCTCTCTCTCTCTCTCTCTCTTCTTCTTCTTTTCTTCTTCTTCTTCTTTCTTCTGCCCATTTTTTCTGTATGTATTTTCGAATATAAGTATTTGGTGGCCTATCTATCTATATGTATGTGTATCTATGAACAGATGTGTGTGTGTGTGTGTAGTGTGTGTGTGTGTGTGTGTGTGTGTGTGTGTGTGTGTGTGTGTGTGTGTGTGTGTGTGTGTGTGTGTGTGTGTGTGTGTGTGTGTGTGTGTGTAGGCCTACACATTCCCTGTTTGTTCCGTTATTATTTCCATTGAATCTCTTTCCCTCCTCCTGTTTGCTTTGAAACAAACACACAACCAAAACGCACACACCCCCCCCCCACTTAACACTGTTCATACGTCATCCGTCGTGAACGCTGAATGCTCGGACGGAAAGACAACATATTATGCTGTCTCGCCGGATTGCTTCTGCCTCGAGTACCTGCCACGCTACAGCTGATGTCTCCTCTTCATTTGTCAGCGGAGGAGAGACGGAGGTAGGGTCGGGGGGGGGGGGTGAGAGGGGGTCCTTGGAGGGTGTAGGGGGTGGTAGGGGGATTCTTGCAAGGGGGGGGGGTCCTTGGAGGTGGGGGGGTAGGGTGGTCGGGGTGTTCTTGGAGGAGGAGAGACGGAGGTAGGGCGGGGTCGTAGGGGGGGAGAAGGGTGGGGGGTTCCTTGGAGGTGGGGGGAGGGGGTAGGGGGTTCCTTGAAGGTGTTGGGGTTTGCATAAGAAGGGCATTAGGTTGTGTAATAAGTGTAGTAAGGGAGGTGTAGAGTGTAGATCAGGTATGGAAGGTATATGGTAAAGGGTTGGTGTGTACAAGGGGTATCAGGGTTGTAAATGATCGGTGTTAGGGTGTATTAGAAGTGTGTTGGGGTGTAAGCGGTATATGAGGGGGTAGTCAAGGGAGGCGGTAGGGGGTATAAGGAAGGAGCATGTGTGTGGGTGGGGGGGGGTGGATGGAGAGTATGGGGGTGTATGGGAATTAGACGGTGTACAAGTAAAAGAATTTTTAATTATGTTTTTCACTAGTTTTTTTCACCCATTTTTTCTTATTTCTTAATTGGCATTCCTCGTCTGGGTTGGTGTAGTTTTTTCTTCTTTTTTAATGAAGAGTATTTTTACGCGGTTTATAGTTTCGTATCTTGACTTCACTTCATTTTGTTTCACTTTTTTGCGATTCTACGACAATTGTTTTTTTTTCTGTAAATCTAACCCGACATCTCTCCTTCCCTTATTTGGAAATTATTTTTTACGGAATCCCTATAACACAACTCAGAAAAACAAACAAACAAACAAACAAAAAATCCGCAATAACTCTCTCGAAAAAATATTACCTAATTGATATCGAAGACGGATCAGCCATCATTTTATTCTCATCCCCAGAAGTGTGTCCGATGTTCATGGCGATGTCTCAGTCACTGAAGCAGAAAGAACATCGAAGTCTTATTAGCTCCCAGCAGTCGGCGAGACAATTAGGAACACACTTACATGGCAGAAATATACGCACACGTTGAAGTGTACACATATCTGTTTCGTGCTGATTATGTCTGTTGTGGTCCGTCTGTGTGTTTTTTTTCCCCCCCGATTTTCGCTGCTACGTCTAATTCTTGTCCCTCATTCGTTGGTTCGTTCATTCATTTATTCGCTCACCCACTCACTCACTTATTCACTCACTCTCACTCACTCACACACTCACTTCACCTCCCTCCCCTTCCTCCCTCCTCTCTTTCTTCTCCTCCGCTCCTTCTCTTTTTTCTAGTCCTTCTTCCTTCCTCCTTCTCTCCTCGCTTCCTCTCTCTCTATACCTCCTCCCTTCCTCTTCTCTCCTCCCCCTCCCTCCCTATTATCCTAGGAGAAGGTCGACGGTGACAAGCGAGAGGAGGTGGGGGATGGGGGGGGGGCAAGCGATAGGGGGAGGATATGGGGAGGGGGGGGCGTTATGGCATGCGATCGGGCACGGTTTCGTCGGGGGCACTTGGCTAATGATCACCAGGGGGCGGGTATGGTGGAGGATGGAGAGGGAGGGAGAGAGGGGTATGGTGTATGGGTGTGGGGCGGGTATGGTGGAGGATGGAGAGGGAGGGGGAGAGGAGTATGGTGTAGGGGTGTGGTGTGCGGGTATAGTGGGGAGGAAGGAGAGGGAGGGGGAGAGGGGTATGGTGCGTGGGTGTGTGGGCGAATATGGTGGGGAGGAAGGAGGGGGAGTGGGTGTGGTGTATGGGCGTGGGGTCATGGGGGGGGAGGGAAGAGGATCAGCCGAGACAGATATGAGGATGGTGGGCGGAGGGAGGGAGGGAGGGAGGGAGGGTGTCTCGCCTAGTCGCCTCGTGGGTGTCGGGCGGCCGACCTCTGCCTCGTGGGGCGGCTTGGTCTGGGGGAGGGAGGGATTTTTCTTTTTTTGTGTTTGTGGCTCTGTCTTTGTGTCGGTCTCTGTCTGTCTGTCTGTTGTCTGTCTGTCTATCTAATCTATCTATCTATCTATCTTATCTATGTCCTGTCTATCTATCTATCTATTCTCTCTCTCTCTCTCCTCTCTCTTCTCTCCTCTCTCTCTCTCCCACTCCTCTCCTCTCCTCTCCTCTCTCTCTCTCCTCCTCCTCCTCCTCCCCTCCCCTCCCTCCCTCCCCTCCGCTCCCTCTCCCTCTCCCTCTCCCTCTCTCTCCTCTCCCTCTCTCCCTCTCCCTCTCCCTCTCCTCTCCCTCTCCTCTCCATCCTTTCATGTATACACTCTCACCAACCGCATAAAGCAAAAGAAATATGAACCGAGTTAGGAAAATCGTGTCCATTTTCACGGTGAAATTAACCCTGGTGGCGCGATGAGGCTGGCGAGGGTCGGCCTATGTTATGGTCGCTTACACTCCGGGTCCCTTCTATTTTCGTCTCCGATTTTCTCGCTGTTTATTTTTGTACTTCCCTTTAAGTCTTCTATTATTATTCCATGTAGCTCATCCTTTAAAACCTCGATAGTAATAATCCAATCTGTGGGTCTCACTCGAAAGAATTCAAAGGGGAAACTATTTTTTGAATTTTCCCGTCTGGTTAACAGCGTTCTTCGTCCAGTGTTTATGGGGCAGTTATCACTCTTCGGGCGGGAGTTATGATGAGGAAACGCTTTTTGTGGGCTGCTTTCTCTTTAGATTTCTGGTTTCAATTTACCAGGTGTGGGTGTGTGTATGTATATATAGATGTATACATATATTTATATATATATATATATACGTATGTATATATATGTGTATATATATATGTATGTATCTATGTATATATATATTTATATATACGAATA